TTTAATAATGATACATTTTATAATTAATTAGTATTTACCATGATATTCAGGAAATGCATTTGAGCAAATTTGATAGAAAATATGATAGTTACGCTCAGCTAAATAAACAATTCAATCATCCAGTTTCTTTATTTTTAGAGAACAAAAAAATTAAATTTTACCTGGTTGCTAAAATAAAAGAAAACAAAAATAATTATCATTCATATAGATAGTAATGGACGAAATTTTTCGAATAATTTTCTTTTACTTGTAACTCTGTCAGAAATCTATTTATTAACAACGAGTTTTGTCAAATTTACGATTAATATCTATGGTTCATTCACAGGGTTCAGAAGAGAATGAACATTGAATTCATATGAAAAAATAGACAAAACGTGAGTTATATGTTACCAAATAAATAATTTAAAAAATCAAATAGTCTATGAAGGAAATGCCACTATCGCATGATGAAACATCTTACAAAAAGTACATTATGTCAACAGATTATTGACTGCCTTTTTCTCTTATTTTCTGAGCAAAAAAAATATTCTGTACATGCTAAAAGATGGAGAATTTCAAAATGCACAAAATCGTAGTGTCTTTTTTGTTTAAACAAGTTTAATTTTGCTGGCACCAAATTAAAAAAAATTTACATCTAATTAGTCATTCAACTGTAATTTCTACTTCTTCCCACTGACGATTATTGATTTTTTGTAAAATTTTTGCTTGTAAAAGTCAGTGCCAAAAGTAAATTACTTCATAGCTATAGATAGAGAATCTTGTACTCTATGTCTCCATGGTCTTTTCAAGATTTCTAAAGCTGGCATTTAAGAAAAGAAAAACACTTGGGACTGGCAACTGTTAATATTATTGAGTGCAATCTTGGAAAATTGTCTTCTCAAAAGTTAGACTTGCTCTATGAAAGATCTATTATTATGCCGTTAGATGAAGTACTTAATTTCTGTGTAAAGATTAAATTGAATCATGAAAATATTTAGTTTATTCTGAATTAGAAAATAATCATAGCATAGGTCTATTAGAAAAAGGACTCTTTCTGATGTTTTTGCTATTTTTTTTGAATTCAACACTGTTGCTGTCAAATATTTTTTTCTATTTGTATATTAAAACAAGAATATCAAAACACACACTATAGTATTATGAAAAACAAAAATATTCCTTAATAAATAATTTTCTGACAAAGTATATATATAGAATAATATTGTCCGAAAATTGTCTTTCACTATTATAGAATATCTTACTTGAAAGATTACACGAGATTTTTCCAGTAAATATACTTCAATATCGGCACCAGCAATTTTACCCGATGGACCAAAGTGAATACGAATGAATTTACCCTAAATAGAAATATTAATCGTTAATAAACAATTCATTCATTCTTATATAATTAATAATATGCAATTAATCATATATTAGCTATCAATATGGTATTGAAAAGAATAAAACAAATTGACTAATTTTAATTATAACTTACAAAACGAGATGAGTTGTTATTACGAGTAGTTTTTGCATTACCATAAGCTTCCAATACAGGATCTATTTATAGATACAGAATAGATTTATCTGATAATCAATAGAATAAAATTTGAACTTACTAGCTGATACAATTTGATCTTCAAGTGTCATTGTTTTCTGTTATTTTTTTTTTTTTAATTTTAATAAAGAAAACGATAAAATTATGTTCTTTTATATTAATAAACTACCTTTCCCTCGTCTTCTTTTTTAGTACCAGCTGCAGCGACCAATGCAAAATATTGGATGACTTTTTTCGTATTTTCGGTTTTACCAGCACCTGATTCACCTGTGATTAACATCGATTGGTTTTCACGATCTAAATTTGAAGAATTTATTTAGAATGAACTCTTTTTCTTTTTTGGCTAGTAACATATTAAACAAAGAAATTATCATAAACATTTCTTTCTTATTTAATTACGCAATAAAACTGATAATTTTTGTTATTATAACTAATCGCTTAGATTCATTAGTTTCGCTTGATTGATTTTATCTATAAGAACATCTGTGTATGTCAATCGCTAATCTTCTGTTTTTATTGCACTTTGATTACATAGAATATGCAACATAATCATTTAGTAAATGTCTCATTTGTTCTTTGTTATTTAAACATCTGGTTTGATCATTAACTTTTCTTTCTCACTGTTTTTAATAGATATACAAATACTCTCTAGTTTGTCTTCATAAAAGAAAAACAAAACTATATTTGGATTATGATATTTAATGAAAAAAAAATATATTCTATTGATTAAGTATATGACATCTGCTTTTTTTCTTTTTGAACGATATACTCAATAATCTATATTACTTTCTCATACAATCTTATGAAATCGAGTTGTTTTGATTAACATGCTCTTACCTCGAAGCATATTTGAATAAGCAGTATCAGAGATAGCATATAAATGTGGTGCAACTTCAGTACGTTTTCTACCACGATATGCAAGTACTACTTTCATATTATAAATTGGTAAACGTTTATAAGGATTAATGACAACACAAAATAATCCTGAATATGTCTAGAAAAGAAAAAACAAGTTTCTATGATTTTATAGAGAGAGATATCAATATTCATACATAGATAAGCCATCGTCCATAACGATCACGTAAAGTAGCTAAAACTGAAGCATCATTCAAATAAGTTAAATCAGCCATATCATCAAGACACCAGTATTTTGGTGGATTCATTTCCTGAACATCATCTTTTTTCACTGTTCGTGACTAAGAAAAGAAAAAAGAAAATTGTTTATAAAAAAATTTTAATTGAAAAAAAAAACATTAAACATACTTCTCCTTTACAAGTTTTAACTGTAACTTGATTATCTTTTGTGCTTTCAATTTCAGCAGCAATAAACGATTCCTTTGGATCAGGTACCCAACATGCTTTTTTAGCATCGAATGGTTGAGATCGAAGTTTGATTTTTTCTTCAGCTGGTAAAGCCAAATATTTCATTGCTTCGAGTAACTCAGGATCATTTGGATCGTGTATTAATCTGTAATCAATATTTTAAATAAAATTATTAATAAATTTATACTCAGATAGTTCAACATACCCTTCGGCCACCATATTTACGATTTATTTCAATAGAACTTAATAGACAGTATAATCTAACAACAACTAAAAAAAAAAAATACTTTTTATTGAAAAAATACAATACTCAGTTTTTAGTGGTCAATACCTGATAATAGGACGAGCTAAGAATGCGTTTCTATAAACAAGTATTTCTTCACTTAGCAAGCGTTTATATAGTCCCTCAATTGAGAGATAAGAGAAGAAAAAAAGATGTCATTGACCAAAAAAGTAATTCTATTCTTGTCCTATTAGTTTTTTCGCCAATCTGTAATGATTGGTTCTTTTACAGAACAATTATTTTGGAATCCTATGTGATGAATTGGTAATCTCTATAATACGCATAAGTTCGACAGATGGTCGAATAGACAAAAAAAGAGAGA